TAGCTATTATAGAAAAACATACTTTTACTTCATTGAAGCAACATTTTGTAATCACGTTTAGCATTTTAAAAATTTTAATTTAGAGTAGACGGATAAAATAACTTAAATTGATTTATGATCTTAATAACTATCTATTATTTTAACCATAAATACATTATCAATGTCAACCATTATACATGTGTATATACTATTTTTATCAATATATTATGTTGTAGAAATTCCAGATTTGTTTAATGTTAATAATTTCTGGGTTGAAACACATGTTGTAAATAATGCTAGTGTAGTTGCGTTCGTAAAAACAGGAACTCCGAAGACTGACGTAATTGCCTCCCGCTCTGCGATCAAATCCCGACTAAACACTAAATCCCGTTTGTGGAGGGAAACACGGTTGTTAGCAACAACAGTGGAGTGGGGGGTTCAACATGGCCGCCGTATCACCATGACAACACACGTGTTGTGGGCGCGGCGAGCTTGACTCCGCCTCCGCGGCCATCTTGGAACTGCGGTGGAACGTTTGGTGCTGCTTCTAGCGGCCGGGAACCAAACTAAATTACTCATTGTTGGCAAAGGGAGAGGATTTCCGCTTATTCCGGAGGAAGCTTTTGGGAGGGCAGTCCGCTATTGATGCCATTTCATTTTATCATACAAGACGAGGGACTAATTCAATTTGCGCCTCTTCTCTTTGCGGATCAACTGAGGCGAATCGGGGAAATATTCAAATAAACGTCTGATTCTTAGATCCCACGTAATTTACGGTTGAATTGTAGTCGAGAAGCCGCAACGTTTTATATCACCATCACTCAGCAGATTTACCCTAACGCTATTTGCTGCTAATGAACGCGAATACCGGAGATGACTGACGATTCAAGCAGTGGAATCGAGCTTAATGCCGATACTGTATTATGATTGTAACTGATTTTGTAATCTGTAAAATATAAAATACAAAATCGTTTCTTCAATTAATGAAGCATTTACAGAGTCCGGAGGAAGTATAAATAGTTGTGATCACGATTCCTAGTAGGACTACAAAGGGTCAGGGACGGGGGTTTGGGTTTGATGTAGCAACCTCTGCGACATCGGCAGATCTTTTGGGGGAGCGGGAGAGGATATCAGGATTTGACTCGGGTAGTTGGTTAAGAAGCACACAAAATATTTATCGATACTTCCTTAATTTATTAGTGTGGTAATCATGCAGTTACAATCCCAACATTTAATTATGATATAAATAATTGTTTTTATCTGCAGTTATATTTATAATGTAATTGAATTATTATGTTTTATTGGTACATTATCATATAATAGGCTTTCATTTTTTGTGTATATAATTTTGGGTTTTTATCTGTAATTATGTAGTCATTTTCAAATAATCTCACCTAATCTATTGTTAGTCGCATCCCATACTCAAATGGACAACAAAATCCAACCACTCGCCTAGAACCCTTTTATAATCTATATCTATTCTATTTACTTATTTAATACGCAAGCAGGATTTTTGTGACAATTACTCCTCCGAAACTACTGAACCGATTGACATGTTTTTGGTGTCATTGGAAACAGCGTAACGTGAAGTTGTGCAGGAAACTTTCTTTTTAGGGAAATAATTAGAGAGTGAGGCCCTGGGGCCCTTTAAAGTTACGTATTTCTCCATAAGATTAACATAGGAAACAAAAATTGTTATGAAACTCCAGCTGTTGTCAGAAATGCTGTTCTGCTATTTAATTTCATTTGTTTACAAGAAGAAGAAGAATTGTTTCTTGGTGCCATCTGGTCAATGAATTGTACTTTTGCATATATTTTAAATGATATACACTAGCCTATATAAAATAATGGTACTGTAATACATTAAGAGATATTCATTTAAATAATCAATAAGTACGATTGAGCCTTTTCCTATATGTTTCCTGGTAAGTGTGTTGTATCTGTTTCTTATAGTATATTACAGTATTTTAAAGTAAAACCAAATTATTCTTTTCCGCAATCTGATCCCGTAGCGAAGCACGGGCAGAGCAACTAGTACGATATTATTTTAAAATTAAACAGATTTGAAAATCCGTAAATTTTACCAAGAACCTCGTTATGACTGGGTCAAAAAGTGTAAGAAAGTGCAATGGTATATTGTGTACATTATTGATTACTAAAGGAAATAGGAAATTTACTAGAATAGAATAGACTTTATTTACAAAAATGTTCCAGGTAATTTGAGTTTTGAATTTACAACAGTTATAAAATACAACTAATACAAACATTTACAATTATAAATTCACTAATAATTAACTGTTTCTATCCATTGGTACTCCATACAGAAAATAATCAATTTTATTTGGGTAAACCGTTTTTAGGCTTAAGTTGAAGCCCATAATTATTCTGTAGCGTAGTTAAAAAAACCTAAGTCCTGTTAAGGGTGCTCTTTGTACCTCCATTTTAAGCATAATGAATTTCTATGTGAACTACAATTCCCGTACTCCAGAGCCCGAATCACGCTATTTAAAGACACGTTTACAATAAATGGTCTGAATAATAAGTATACAGAATAGTTCTATAGGCCTACTGTTAAACATTGATGAACTCTGTTTAAGGTCGATTGATGGTGGACGATTTGTTTACTACAGATTTATGCTAAGGAAAAGAATGTCGTTGAAGATTTCTGATACCATTTGATAGGTTTTGTGTCATTTGCGTTAATGTTAAAAGAAACATGCCCTTGCGGTAGTTTCATATTATATCGTCTACATTTATTTGATCAAAGCATATGCAGCAGTGTGCTGTGCAGCCTGTGCTGTGCATGTTTTGATGTTCGTTCTCGTTGTACGGTGACGTGTGAGTGTTGCGCCTGTTGCGCCGAGATCGATATCTCCCGCACGCGAGCGCACATTACCATAATAGTGTTCTCCGAGTATAAATAATAACCGTGCGAGTGTGTGTGTGTTGATTGATCCGCTTCCTGTGTGCCACAGCGAGTGTTCTGTCCTTCAATCCTGGGAAACTGAGTAGAATATTGTGTGTACTGTGTATGTGTAGGCCTACACTGCACCACTGCACAGCCATTATGCGCATTCATCGTTACATTGAACTTGTAGTGAGTCAAAAGTTCGAAAGAGTCTTTAAAATACTGTTTCATAAAAAATTTGTTATTTTTTATGTACGAGAGATGTCATGCTCGCCTTTAACCAGCTGTTGTGTGTTTAAATTGTGACAGAGGCTGCATTCTAACACGACCATAGTCATTATGACATTATTTTAAGCAAAATCTTACTTCCCATTTTGTTGGATTGTATAATATGTGACGTTAGATTCATTCTTCAGTACCGTTACCGTACATCACAGAGAAGTAAGATACTACTTAAGATTATCTGCGTTTACATTAAAAGAGTAGCAGATATTGATTCAAATAATTTTCAAACCTATCGAGGATTGCTGACTCGAGGCGATTTAAATCTTGTGGCAAAGAAAACAAATCAGCCACATCATTAAACTCTCATTTAGTTTGGCGATCCAGTTTTAAAGTTCGACCTTTATCGCTTTTCAAACACTTAATGACCAATTAATGCCATTAAAAACTGTTGGTTGTTTCAAGATCTGTGAACCGTGGCGTATTTTGATACGCCCTTTCAGTTTCAACTTGTTTATGCCGTTACCTTATTGACTGTTTACTTTAACATGTTGAAACACCGAAGTAGAAACTGTATATGTTCGATATTACCATAGATAAAACGTGTGTTGGCCAATCTATGATATTACCTTTGACTATCCAATAGTCAATGATATTACCTTGCACTATTAGGTACTCTATGCATTTGTAGAAAACAATGTAAATGTAAGCACATTCTATTTCTACTCACTGCTTGCTCTAAAGAATTAACAAAGTTGTCATGTTTAATTGCTAAATTTTAAACATGTCAAATAGTTAATAGGTGTATAGTAAAAAAGAGTACAGGGCTAGATCGATCATTCCTGACGATCCCTGCCAAAACTCGTGAGATGCTAAACCCTACGAACAGCAAGGGTTAGTGAAGGCAATTTGAAGAAACGTTGAACCATGGAGGGTATAGTGGGATACTTCAAGGTTCTCACGGAACTGGAAAGTCAGGGAAGGTTAGGGAAACTTGTATAAGGCAAGGGAAAGTTTTTAATAAAGGCCGCAAGTCAGGGAAATTTATTAAAAACTTGTATAGATTGCGTTACTAATTTTTTGGATGATTAGCTACGTTAAAATTAGAGAGGCCTAGTTGCTGAAAAGATGACTAAACTTCTGAAAAATCTGTGGGTAATGTAATTTTTATTTCAATGTTTGTTTTGTTTAGAGCTATAACTATTTTAAATTTGATTTCTGATTTCCTTCGCCGCAGCAAGCCTGCAGACTAAGCTGATTTCCATATACCAGGCTGGTTTTCTACTAAAATAATCCCTTAATATTGTCTGATTTATTTTCTATTAAATATCATCAATTTTAATAAGCCCTTAGGTTTGTTGCTTTAGGGAATGTAGTCCTGGAGTGGTTTTTTTTTTATAGAAAAACAAAAGAAAAATCAATCCCGGGTCTATATCTTACCATGAGGCATGCGTTAATGACACACTCCCTATATGAGAAATTCGCTTTTAAAAGGAGGTGTAAAGAGCGGCTATGAAGATGGCGGAGGCCTTTTAAAATTAAAAAAAAGTTGTTTTAAAGTAATAAATACTTAACCTATATCTAAATATTAAGAAAACTCACAGTATCTAAAATTTTCCGTGGTCAGGTAAATTAACAGAAAACGGTCAGGGTAGGTCAGGGAAAATCGAAAATTCACTAAAGATATTTTTGTGGGAACCCTGTACTTCTTCAAGGATGAGTCTTCGTTATGAGATTGTAACCGAAGACAACCAATTCCACGGGAGAAGTAATAAATAAACAGCATTAACTAATCTTTAGCTTCTAAAAAACTGTATCTGAACTGAAACAGCTGTGAGTTGTAGAGGGACCCATGTAACTGATGACTTATTGTTGGGTCGGTTTGTTGCAGGTTCTGGTCGAGTATGACGACACGGAGTGGCAGCGACGAGAGTGGATCAGCGTGTACAAGGACAACATATTCCAAGTGTTCATGGTGGAGTCGTCGCTGGTGTGGTGCGACAGGAAGGACCCCTACACCAGCCTCAAGTCGTCCGTCTTGTGGCCGGCACTTGTAAGTATCTAGCTGAGTGCCGTGGAAGGCCGGGCCTGATTGGTCGCGCTGAGGTTTGCAACAGCCCAAGTGGAGCGGATCGGCTCTATTTCCCTTTCCCCGGTTATACAAGGTTGACCGCGTGTCCACGTGCCAGGTTGGCATCTTTACGCCCGATGCCTATCTGACACGCTCGGCCGTTGTTGTACATTACCCTCTAATCGTATATCACAACACTTAAGTGTCACCGTACCAAATTTGTTTTCATTATGAGTTTTTATTTCTACTAGTGGTCAGCGTGTCGAGTCCACATAGAAATCCAACCTTGTAATCGATCTTGAAAAAATTTGCATGGAATCGCAGGTGTTTTTTTTTTTTTAGTTTACCGGCTCTTAGTTTTACAGTTCTTATCAACACAAATACCCGTGATAAATTCAAGCCCCAAGCGGCTGCTAAGAGGTTGTCCCTTTCTCTGCACATAGCACAAATTAGAAACAATTGGTTACACATAACCAAGCGGTTTGTTGACTGGAGCAAGGTAAAATATATAATTTAGCCTATGGCTTATAGTCTTTTTGGGATTCATTAAGGCTCCACCAGAACCGCACTCAAGCTTTCGTATGCAAATTTCTAACTGGTTTATTCTAATGTGATCAATATTAAATTAGTCATTAACATTATTTACGTTCTGAAAGCTACGTCGAATCAACTCCTGAAGCAGCCAGTTTTGCAATAAGTAAACTATAATTATATTGGAAATTGAATAAAAATTATTAATTTTATCAGGCAAGGTTATATGACAAAACAATGAAGAAAAATAATTAGCGCATTTATACTTAGATATTCTGATTTGCTCCTTCCCCTGGATGCCCAAGCACTGTGGCATATTTTTAACCTTTGGCAATAGCTTTGAGAAGTACTTTTGTGTGAAATTACTCCTAAGAAATTGAATGTACTACTTGCCAAATGACTAAATAGGTCGTTGACTCGTGAAGATTTGTTGATTTCAGTTGAAATCACTTTTAGAAACAGAAACACATTCCTCTGGCTGTGCAAATGTGCAAATTCATGTTGAATTGCTGACTGCCGAGTGAGCGGCGTGCTACATCTTGGCGGGAATGCTTGTTTACTGATCGGTGGCATGTTGATGTATTCATTATAAACAAGGTCGCCACACAACAGCACCCTGCGCCCACGGCTTGACACTGCGCCAACGTCCTACAGTCCCACATGCCACCACACCACTGACGTTGAAATAACTACCCTTATTATATACGTCTACACGGTTTCGCATAAAACTGGTGCTGAAATAACTACCGCACCCTTCCCCAGACGTCTACTCTACACAGTCTCACCACTGATGCTGAAATAACTACCCCACCTCCTTTAGACGTCTACACAGTCCCACATACCACTGGCGCTGAAATAACTACCCCCTTAAGACTTCTACACAGTCCCACACAATCACTGATGCTAAAATAACTACCCCCACCCCCTCTAGACGTCTACACAGCCTCACATACCACTGGCGCTGAAATAAAAAAAACCCTTGGACTTCTACACAGTCCCACACAATCACTGATGCTAAAATAACTACCCCACCCCCTTTAGACGTCTACACAGCCTCACATGCCACTGGCGCTGAAATAACAATCCCCTTTAGACTTCTACACAGTCCCACACAATCACTGATGCTAAAATAACTACCCCACCCCCTTTAGACGTCTACACAGCCTCACATACCACTGGCGCTGAAATAACAACCCCCCTTAGACTTCTACACAGTCCCACACAATCACTGATGCTAAAATAACTACCCCACCCCCTGACGTCTACACAGCCCCACATACCACTGGCACTGAAATAACAATCCCCTTTAACGTCTACGCAGTGTCATGTTATTTGAAACCTACTCTGTTGAACATGCATGTCCATTCTTTCAGTGTGATTTGACTCTTATTGATTTTTTCCCCTCGCGACACATACTGGTACCTCCTTTCGGCCGGTTTAAAGAACTATGAGCTTACTATGACGCCATTTTAAAAAGTTCATTTTTAGGTTACATCACACTCTGAACATTGCAACGGAAATATACGAATCAATGTTTATGGACTACTGTACTAGTAGTTGTAGCGCAAAGTATAACAGTTGTAGCGTGACGCTTGTTTCATGTTAAACCGTAATCTCCTTGAGACATCGTCACCCGCACGACACAAGCGGTGTCCTTCGCGAAGCAGTCTTTTTACGAACTTTTACAATAGAATTTTTTAGTGACGATGTTTTTTTTCCCCAACCTCTGAATCTGGGCGTTATCTTGCAGACATTCACGTCACTGGTGGCCACCATGGACTTGTCGTCTCAGAGACTTCAGCCCGTGGAATTCTTGGTGGATCAAGAACTCGCGTTCAAGGATCCGACTACACTCCTTCCGTACAAGGTAAGAAACAAATATTGTTGGCGTATTTATTTATCAAGTTTTGGAACTGGCTTGGATGTAATCAAAATTTACGTTTATGGGTATAAAAATAGTACAAATATTATTAATATGTTGATTTTGAGTGTTATTGTGTGCACCTCAACCTGTCAAAGATGGTGAGTCGGACTAATAACACCATATATTTTTTATCTGACAAATATTTTACGGCATTTGTGTGTATGTATGCTACGAAGCTTGTTCTGATTTAAAAAAGATGAGGTGTAGGACACAAGGCAGGAATTTTCTAAACATGGTGATATAGCCTAATACTTCTGACGTAGACCACAGGGATAGTGTGATATTGTAGACCATAGTGTGATAAGTGTTGGTGATATTGTTCTCCAGACATGGTTGGTTGTTCATCACAAAGAGGTGATACTATACTGATTACTGCTAATGTGGACCACAGGGATAGAAGTATTGGTAATATTGTTCTCCCGACATGAATGGTTGTTCAGGTGATACTATACTGATTACTGCTAATGTGGACCACAGGGATAGAAGTATTGGTAATATTGTTCTCCCGACATGGTTGGTTGTTCAGGTGATACTCTACTGATTACTGCTAATGTGGACCACAGGGATAGAAGTATTGGTAATATTGTTCTCCCGACATGAATGGTTGTTCAGGTGATACTCTACTGATTACTGCTAATGTGGACCACAGGGATAGAAGTATTGGTAATATTGTTCTCCCGACATGGTTGGTTGTTCAGGTGATACTCTACTGATTACTGCTAATGTGGACCACAGGGATAGAAGTGTTGGTGATATTGTTCTCCCGACATGAATGGTTGTTCAGGTGATACTATACTGATTACTGCTAATGTGGACCACAGGGATAGAAGTATTGGTAATATTGTTCTCCCGACATGAATGGTTGTTCAGGTGATACTCTACTGATTACTGCTAATGTGGACCACAGGGATAGAAGTATTGGTAATATTGTTCTCCCTACATGAATGGTTGTTCAGGTGATACTATACTGATTACTGCTAATGTGGACCACAGGGATAGAAGTGTTGGTGATATTGTTCTCCCGACATAGTTGGTTGTTCATCACATAGAGGTGATACTATACTGTTTACTGCTAATGTGGACCACAGGGATAGAAGTATTGGTAATATTGTTCTCCTGACATGGTTGGTTGTTCAGGTGATACTATACTGATTACTGCTAATGTGGACCACAGGGATAGAAGTGTTGGTGATATTGTTCTCCCGACATGGTTGGTTGTTCAGGTGATACTCTACTGATTACTGCATTAGCAGAGGATCAAGTACATCTGTTATTGCATATTGTTCTCCTGACATGGTTGGTTGTTCAGGTGATACTATACTGATTACTGCTAATGTGGACCACAGGGATAGAAGTGTTGGTTATATTGTTCTCCCGACATGGTTGGTTGTTCAGGTGATACTCTACTGATTACTGCATTAGCAGAGGATCAAGTACATCTGTTATTGCATATTGTTCTCCTGACATGGTTGGTTGTTCAGGTGATACTATACTGATTACTGCTAATGTGGACCACAGGGATAGAAGTGTTGGGGATATTTATCTCTGGTCATGGATGGTTGCCTTGTCACAAGGAGGCCATACAGTACTAGACTGCTGACTGCTAATATAAAACACAGGGCTAGAAATATTGGTGATATTGATCTCTCGTCATGGATGGTTGCCTTGTCACAAGGAGGCCATACAGTACTAGACTGCTGACTGCTAATATAAAACACAGGGCTAGAAGTATTGGTGATATTGATCTCTCGTCATGGATGGTTGCCTTGTCACAAGGAGGCCATACAGTACTAGACTGCTGACTGCTAATGTAAAACACAGGGCAAGAAGTATTGGTGATATTGATCTCTCGTCATGGATGGTTCCTTGTCTCAAGAAGGTAATACTTTAGACTATTTACTGCTGAGGTGGACGTACGTTACCGGAAGTGTTCGTGATCTGGCACATTCCACACCTGCGTGTCCGCCCTGCTTCCGCTCATTGTCCTGTAATTGGCTTCGTTGCATAATGGCCAAGGTCGCTTCCATCTGATAGCATTCCCACAGACGATTACTCACACCCCTCCCTCTCCCCTCCATCCATAGTCGCGTCTTCTTTCTCTCACGTCCCTCCCACTACCACCCGCAGTTGTCGCTTGTTAGTTCTTATCTTGCCAATTGTCTCTTTATTGCTGGTCAATGCCAAGTAGGATGTGTTGACTGTATTTCATTTACTTACCTTTTTGTCTTGTATTTACATCCAAGGAAACCAAAAATGTGTTTAAAGTTCCTTAATACTTATATTACGTAGCAGTACAGTGGCGGTTCTATGGCCTTGTTAAGGGGAGGGGGGCTACCGCGGGGTGTTTCCAAGAATGAGCGGGGTCCGGGGGTACTCCCCCTTGAAAAGTTGGTATTTTTAAAGACGTTTGGTGACTTTCTAAAGTCATTTATAATCCGCGCCAAAGCTGGTGGCGGCTGAGGGATTAGACCGGCCAGGTCGGTGAGCAGGTCCGACCTATGTAGTTCTACCTGGCGGTCCTAATCCCTCAGCCGCCACCAGCTTTGGCGCGGAGTATAACGTCTAGAACTTTGTCCAAAAACCTCTGTTGAGTTTTTTAAAGACAAAATATATGATAACATGTTTTTTAGGGTCCAATGGGAAGGGAACTTTAGCCCCTATAGCCCTCCTTGATACCGCCACTGGCACATACATGCTCTTGAATATGGAGTGTATGATACAATAATTTTAAATTTTGAAATCTTCTTTTGAGAAAGTTCTATTTAGCAAAAGGTTTATTAGTCGGTTCGGTATTGCTGAATGCTGCTATGCGCAGAGCCTTTCCTTAGTTTTGGTATATAACTCATGTTGAGATGTTGTGTTGTAGGAATGGGACCTCAAGATCCGTGGTGTCAAGGACTACCCGGCGGTGCGGGAGGCGGCACGTCGCTGGGTGGAGGCGCAGGACGGTCAGCAGATCCTGCTCACGACCCCCTCGGTCCTGGTGGGGTTCAGGGTGGAAGTGTACAGAGCCGAGGGCACCACACAGTGGTACACCGCCGTCATCTGTGGCTACAACGAGGCTACCCATGTGAGTTACACTGTTGTGTCTCCTTCAAGTGTTTTAACCTCAAAATCAGTAAAAGTTTGAATAACACTATGATCTCCTGTAGTAACAGAATTACACTTGTTGGATGCAAAAAAAGGCAAAGATATCAGTAGCAATCAACATAAATTATTTCTCATAGTCTCAATAAATGAACATCAACCACAACACTGGTAATACACACTAGTTTATATACACTAGTGCTGGTGAGGTGTCTAAGGTTCAGTCCACCTCCACCCCCTCACCATCATGTAGCCTACATACAACACAATGTATGTTGCTCATAGTGGAGGAAGACCCAGTGCCCTGTTTGATAGGAATTTTCATACAGTGCTCTCCGTTTGAGGGTTTGGGGTTTTCTTTGCTAGTCACAAGTATATATTTCCAGCCCAACATACCAGAGCATGAAAGTGCACGGTCGTCCCATAAGCATGTTTCCTCTGTACCTTATTTCTCTATGGTTTATAATATAAATCTGGTACTTAAAGAATAAACTTATTTAACACAACTTTTTTCGGGACAGTGGCTACGCCCCCAAAAAATATTATAAAATATTATTGCCTTCCATTGTTATCACACCATTGTTGTGTCCATTGTTGTTGTTGTTTTATTCCATTTTGAGATTAAACTCAAATCTCTAAATATAAATGTAATTTCACTGTATTAATTATGGAAACCCCCACAAATATACATTTCACTTTCATACAGTTAAGAAATCAAAAGGAACTTAACAAAGCAATAACAACTGGTATAAGGCGTTGTGTCTGTACTATACTGTATACTTTGGGAGTTAAAGGTTAAAGGTCAAACTATTAACCAGAAGGTTCTGATTGGATGAGTTTCCTGTATCCCTATCCAATCAGTCCTTTACTCTTATCCACACAATGCTTAGTTTACCTTCATCAATACAAAGGCCTGCCCTGTATATAGGGGGTCATGCCTTGACTCACAAGCCTTTCAATTACACGTGGCTAAAGACACGGGCAAGGTTGTGGAAGATGTCACTAAGTAGGCCAATTACAAATAGTATAGTAGCACATATAAAAATCTTCATACCCCCCAGTTGCAGCTTTCTGACATGCTATGAATGACACATACTTGTTATGGTGTGTTTCAATGATTAGGTTATTCCTACAGTCTACTGTACTGACATGTCTTGTCTGTTCCAGGAGCTGACAGTGACTGATGACACCGTGCTGGAGGGCCACAATGAAGACCCCACCCTGGTCCAGATGAGGCTCATAGGAGACAGAGGTCAGTCAATCATCATAAGTAATCTAACATTCTAGATCCTTCCAATTACTATCAGCTCATGGAATGGTATTTGATTACTGACACAATTATTTGGACAAAATAACCTTTTCCTTACAAGATTCCACACTATTTAACCTCCCTGTGTATTATTGAAAAATTTCCCCACTACAACAAACCTGCAGACTGAACGAATTTCCATTTTCTGATTTAATTATTACAAACATCCCTTTAAACAAGTTAGATTGATTCCCAATTAAAATCAGTAACATTATATTTCATGAGTAAGGAGGTTTTCTGATACAGGAAAGAAAAAAGTGTATTTTGAATTTTAATTGTATAGTATGAATAAAATAGATTTGCCGAACTTGAGCAAAATACTCCCACTTAACTGGACTACTCAAAAGAGGCCAGTCCAGTCTTAAACTAGGAATCTAATGTACGCCATTGGAATCACCTTAAAACTAAGATCAAAGATCTGAAGGTGACTTTTAGTATCCACAGTCTTTCTTTGGTGGTGCAACTATTCAAGGCTACCTAGATTAATTGGCTCTAGGGAAGTATCCTAGATAACGGTTTAACATTATTTACTAGGGCAACTTTTATATTTTTAAGCCAGAAAGTATATTGATGATAAACTGCTTACATCTGATTTAGCTAAAAAATATGCATTAAGTTAAAGAAATATAATTTGAAACTTGAACAATTTTTTCTAAAAAATAAGATAAAAGTAGATAAGTAAATATCTGTTTTCAAAAATGTCATGAGAAAAGCTGGATGCTACACATCTTTCTCCCATATAACATAGTATTTACTATTCACATTTATCCTGGTCAACGTGGCACTGCAGTAAAAAAATCTCATCATACTGAGAGTTACAGAAGATCACATTAGCTTGACAGTTGAGATGCCACAAGATAAAGCTTGCACCTGTCATCAGACTGAGTTACAGAATATCAGTTAGCTTGACAGTTAAGATAGGGTGCGTTCACAAAAAAAGCTGGTTACAAGTAACTAACTTTCAGCATTTGTTCCAAGCGCTTGAGAATGCTGTTGTGTGTTCACAACAAACGCTTGCATTTCAAGTTCAGTTTTTGAGAAAATATCTTCCTAAAGTGATGAAGAGTTATTTTTGATTGAAAATGTAGAATTAAAAATTCGTAGAAGGAAAGTAGGTGTTCATGCAATTAACCGCGGAAGACCACCATCGGTTCGGGGAATACCACCATCTGTTTCCTGAATTGAAATTTGACAAAGTGAGGTTTTTTTCTTGTATGAGAATGGAGTTACCCACGTTTAATTACATCCTCAAGAAAATTTCATGTGTTTTAGTGAAGTTTTGAGGGAACTGGCATAAGCAAAGCAACCTCTATCCATGCACCAGAACGAGTTTTGGTCCAATAATAAAACCCAAAAAATACTCGAAGGGAGTTTTAAACACCCTATGTAACTGATTAATTATGATGCAAATAATATTGTGAGATATATTCAATTTTTTTAATTTTCTAGGTAAATGGAGTAAAAGTATACAATTTTCATCTATAAAAAATCCAACATTTAATTAATATTGAATTAATTGTGTTTGTCTATCATCTTAATACATATATGTTATGGTTACGTTATTGAACATTCTAGGGAAAAACCACAATACGTGGGTAATATATTTTTTTGGAAATTTGAAGCTCTAAATACTTGAGCTATCAACTCATCAACATCCATACTGCACTGATAGTAGTTTTTAACTGATTGGTTCGGTCAACAAGAGCCGGAAAACAAGTACGAAACGTTCTTGCGTGCTTGTCAGAGCTTGTAACAATCGCTTGCTAACCGGCACAAGCTTCGTCTGTGAACGCACACGCTTGGTACTATGTTGACTTTTCTCACGCCGGTTCGAGCTTGCAAGCGCTTGCACCTGTCATCAGACTAAGCGTTACAGAAGCCCAGGTTAGCTTTATAGTTATGAGACCAAAAGATAGAGTTTGCACCCGTCCTCAGACAGACAGTTACAGAAGCTCAGGAAAGCTCGATGATTAAGGTACCACAGGATAAATTTTACACTTGTCATCAGACTGAGATTTACAAAAGCTCAGTATAGCTTGACAGTTGATATACCATTTGCACCTTTCATCAGACTGAGGATTTCAGTAGCTCAGGTTAGCTTAAAGGTGGGATACTTCAAGATAGACCTTAAAACTGTCCAGAAGACTAGTCATTGTTGAGAGGCCATAAGATAGCTTGACAGTTGAGATACCATAAAATGGAGATTGCACCTTTCATCAGACTGAAAGTTACAGAAGCTCAGGATGGCTTTATAGTTGAGGGATTACAAGATAAAGCTTGCACTTGTCAACAGACTGAGGGTTACAGGATCTCAGGATAGCTTGATAGTTAAGGTACCACAGGATAAAGCTTGCACTTGTCATCAGACTGAGAGTTACAGGATCTCAGGATAGCTTGATAGTTAAGGTACCACAGGATAAAGCTTGCACTTGTCATCAGACTGAGAGTTACAGGATCTCAGGATAGCTTGATAGTTAAGGTACCGCAGGATAAAGCTTGCACTTGTCATCAGACTGAGAGTTACAGGATCTCAGGATAGCTTGATAGTTAAGGTACCGCAGGATAAAGCTTGCACTTGTCATCAGACTGAGAGTTACAGGATCTCAGGATAGCTTGATAGTTAAGGTACCACAGGATAAAGCTTGCACTTGTCAACAAACTGAGAGTTACAGGATCTCAGGATAGCTTGATAGTTAAGGTACCACAGGATAAAGCTTGCACTAGTCATCAGACTGAGAGTTACAGGATCTCAGGATAGCTTGATAGTTAAGGTACCACAGGATAAAGCTTGCACTTGTCAACAAACTGAGAGTTACAGGATCTCAGGATAGCTTGATAGTTAAGGTACCACAGGATAAAGCTTGCACTAGTCATCAGACTGAGAGTTACAGGATCTCAGGATAGCTTGATAGTTAAGGTACCACAGGATAAAGCTTGCACTTGTCAACAAACTGAGAGTTACAGGATCTCAGGATAGCTTGATAGTTAAGGTACCACAGGATAAAGCTTGCACTTGTCATCAGACTGAGAGTTACAGGATCTCAGGATAACTTCATAGTTAAGGTACCACAGGATAAAGCTTGCACTTGTCATCAGACTGAGAGTTACAGGATCTCAGGATAGCTTGATAGTTAAGGTACCACAGGATAAAGCTTGCACTTGTCATCAGACTGGGAGTTACAGGATCTCAGGATAGCTTGATAGTTAAGGTACCACAGGATAAAGCTTGCACTTGTCATCAGACTGAGAGTTACAGGATCTCAGGATAGCTTGATAGTTAAGGTACCACAGGATAAAGCTTGCACTTGTCAACAGACTGAGAATTACAGGATCTCAGGATAGCTTGATAGTTAAGGTACCGCAGGATAAAGCTTGCACTTGTGATCAGACTGAGAGTTACAGGATCTCAGGATAGCTTGATAGTTAAGGTACCACAGGATAAAGCTTGCACTTGTCATCAGACTGAGAGTTACAGGATCTCAGGATAGCTTGATAGTTAAGGTACCGCAGGATAAAGCTTGCACTTGTGATCAGACTGAGAGTTACAGGATCTCAGGATAGCTTGATGGTTAAGGTACCACAGGATAAAGCTTGCACTTGTCATCAGACTGAGAGTTACAGAATATCAGGATAGCTGAATAGTTAAGGTACCGACTAATAAAGCTTACACCTGTATTGAGACTGAATTACAGAATCTCAGGTTAGCTTCACAGTTAAGATACTAAAAGATAAAGCTTGCACCTGTCGTCAGACTGAGTTACAGAAGCTCAGCATAGCTTGATAGTTAAGGTACTAAAAGATAAAGCTAGCACATGCCATCAGACTTAGTAACAGGATCTCAGGTTAACTTGACAGTTGAGATTCCACAAAGTAAAGCTTGCAACTGCCATCAGACTGAGTTACAGAATTTCAGGATAGCTTGATAGTTAAGGTACCAAAATATAAAGCTTGCATCTGTCATCAGACTGAGTTACAGAAGCTCAGGATAGCTTGACAGTTGAGATACCATAAGATTGAGCTTGCACCTCTTATCAGACTGAGCGTTACAGAAGCCCAGGTTAGTTTTATAGTTAAGAGACCAAAAGATAGAGTTTGCACCCGTCCTCAGACAGACAGTTACAGAAGCTCAGGATAGCTCGATAATTAAGGTACCACAGGATAAATTTTGCACTTGTCATCAGACTGAGATTTACAGAAGCCCAGGATAGCTTGACAGTTGAGATACCATAAGATGGAGCTTGCATCTTTTATCAGACTGAGAGTTACAGAATCTCAGGATAACTCAATAGTTATGGTACCACAAGATAAAACTTGCTCATTTTGTCATCAAACTGAGCTACAGAATCTCGGGTTAGCTTCACAGTTAAGATACCAAAAGATAAAGCTTGCACCTGCCGTCAGACTGAGTTACAGAAGCTCAGCATAGCTTGATAGTTAAGGTACTAAAAGATAAAGCTAGCACATGTCATCAGACTTAGTTACATAATCTCAGGTTAGCTTGACAGTTAAGATTCCACAAAGTAAAGCTTGCACCTGTCATCAGACTGAGTTACAGAAGCTCAGGTTAGCTTGATAGTTGAGATACCACAAGAAGATAGAGTTTTCACCTGTCATCAGACTGAGTTACAGAACCTCAGGAAAGCTCGATAATTAAGGTACCACAGGATAAATTTTGCACTTCATCAGACTGAGATTTACAGAAGCTCAGGATAGCTTGACAGTTGAGATACCATAAGATGGAGAGTTTACCTTTATCAGACTGAGAGTTACTATAATCTCATGCTAGCTTTATAGTTAAGAGACCAAAAGATATAGGTTGTGCCTTTTATCAGACTGAGAGTTACAGAAGCTCAGGCTAGCTTGATAGTTAAGAAACCACAAGATGGAGTTTTCACTTGTCATCAGATTGAGAGTTACAGAAGCTTAGGCTAGCTTGATAGTTG